AGAGAGAGAGAGAGAGAGAGAGAGAGAGAGAGAGAGAGAGATTTGTGACTTCGGGATGTTGACGACATTTGGATACAGACTCAACCTTGGGACAGAGACATTGATTGGAGACTATTTGGGATCGATATCAACGACATTGGTGTTGACGACATTCTAAGGGAATGAAACTTGCAGAGGCCAAAATGCACTGCACCTTCCAGGTGCATCTGTCTTGCGCGGCTTAATTTTGGTGCAGTCCAAAGGAGCTTATCTATCATTTGACATTATTGTCTTATGGACTGTTTTTGTTGATATGAAGGGAGAGGTGCTGCTTTGCCCTTCCAGGAAATGTGGTCACGAACTTGAGCATCAGGTCATTTTGAGACTTTGTTTTTCTCTACCTTTGTGTGGCTGCCTTTGGCTTGACTGCAGGCTCAGCATGACTTTCTATTTTCTCTACCTTCGTGTGGCTGCCTTTTGCGTGACTGCAGGCTCAGCATGACTATCTTTTAGGGAATTATCCAGTGGGAAGAGATGATGCTGCTCAACTCTCAGCATTGCAGATTCTTGCAGAGACGGGGCCAGTAGGGAGCCCAGAAACGTCAATGTAAGTGCCACAGGTGTCAACAAACAGAGGTCTATGTACCCGGTACTTGAATGAGACAAACCTCCATGAGTTCTAGCCTTCCACTCTAGCACCTGAGAGCCAGTCCTTACTCGATTCCCGAAGAGCCATCTGTGACTGTGGGATGAAAACAGCAGCTGTGTCATTGGACGCATTACAAACTGTGCGTGTTGTAAGGAAAGAGGGGTAGCTTGCCATGAGGGTTCTAATTGTGCCGTTTGCTGAAGGAGCGATATTCATGTCCTTGGATCGAGATCCCTAAAATCGCTAGTATCACAAATCTAAGATCCGAGCCTTCTTAGGACCTACTGGTCCTTGTCCTCCGGGACATCCGTTAAAATTGGAACGATATAGAGAAGATTAGCATGGCCCCTGCGCAAGGATGACACGCATGAATCGAGAAATGGTCCAAATTAAAAAATAAAAATAAAAAAGGACCTACTGGTCCACGGGCCAGATCGTGGAAACCAAATCTGCGATCTGGGCCGTTGGGCCCTACTGGACTGACGGCCTGGATCGACGCGATTGTTGAAAGAATGTAACAAATCTGCGGTCTGGGCCATCGGGACCTCGGCGACCCTGGGTGTCGAGAAAAAAAAAAAAAAAAAAAAAGGCCTTGGGCATCGACCCGGTCAGGGCCTGATGGCCCAGACCCATCCCCTTTTCAACGGGTATCCAAACGTGGTGCAAGGGTAGGCTGGAACTGAGGGCAGAGATCATTTACCTGTTGGAGGGGGCCGCGGTACCTACCGGTACTGTCTCTTGGCGCAGTAGCTACCGGTAGGGTTTTGTGCTTTGTTCGCCCTGTTGCTGTTGTACGTGTTTGTGCTTTGTTCGCCCTATTGTTGTTGTACGTGCATTTGTACGCGCATTTGTCCGTTTCTCCGCCCAGTGTGCAGCGCGCTGTCGTACGAGTTTGTGCTCTGTTCGCAGGTTCGCCCATTGTGCAGCACGCTGTCATACTCGAAGCAGTTGTACTTCGCTGTGGGCGCTGTCGCGTATCACCCTCTCTCTCTCTCTGTCTTGCAAGTGTTACATGCCCAGTTGGGCGATGTACATAATAACCGAGGATCCGGAATGTGACAAAAAGGACTGAATGGACAATGCAGTGCAAGTGGAATCTCAACAAGCAATGTGCATTCCGATACATACAAAAGGTGCTTTATAGCGCAGTGGACGACTTAGATACAAGTCCTGACCTGACCGGGACTGACCTCTTTCACGCAGCACAAGATAGGGAAGCAGAATTCCAGAGTACTAACGACTAGCCCAAACGATGTTTCAACGCAGACCAAACATACATCATGCTCATCACAAAATGTGAAGGGGCCTGGCGCTATACACAGGAAAGAGGCGCCAGGTCCAGACATACACAGACGAAGAGGAAGGGATCAGACGAAGAAAAGGAAGGGGGAAATGGGAAAGTCATCAACACCAAGTCTCGTTACAAGTCCCAAATAATCCCTCTTCAAAATGTCTGAAGTCCCATGTCGAGTCTGGATCCAATGTCACCAAGCTCTCTCTCTCTCTCCCGTAGTCTGCTGATGCAGTGAAGTCAGATAGCGAGAGGGTGAGAAGGAGGTGGTGGACTGAGAAGAGGAAGAGGAAGAACTCTCTCTCTCTTGTATGCCAGGTACTAACCTGTGAAGATGGTGCTGTGCTGCAGGTACCTCGAAGACGAAGCTGGAGCAACGGCGCTGCAGGTAAGTATCCCTGGCCTCCGCCCAATCTCTCTCTCTCTCTAGTACTACTCTAGCTATGGCGCCCAGCTCTACAGCTAACGCTACTAGCGCCCAGCGCTGAAGACTACTGCTAACGCTACTCTACTCCTGCAGCGCTCCTCCGAAGTGCTGCTGCCGAATCCTGAAGACTACTGACTCCCTCCTGCCTCGCACGTGAAGTGCCTGGGACGTACCTAGGAGCTACCTCCCAACTACCTGCAGCCTGCAGGGCGGGACAGTCTTATATAGTGCTGGCCCGTCCAGGAGGCTGCTCTTGCCAATGCCAAAACGTGCCAGACCCTGAGGTTGAAGCTCAAACAAAGGTTGTCTTGAAAATAGGCCAAAAATGGCCTGAGCTAAAACCATGGTCTGGTGCCTGAGTTTCAGGGCGGGTCGAACTGACGAGGTCCTGAAAATGGCCCTCAGTTTCAGGCTGATAACACTCAGGGCCGGAAAGGCCCTGATTTAGCCTGAAACGACACAGGGCCTGTAGGCCCTTGTTTTCAGGCTTTCAGGCTGAAACGACACGGGGCCTGTAGGCCCTTGTTTTCAGGCTTTCAGGCTGAAAACAACACGGGGCCTGTAGGCCCTTGTTTTCAGGCTTTCAGGCTGAAAACAACACGGGGCCTGTAGGCCTTTGTTTTCAGGCTTTCAGGCCGAAAACAACACGGGCCTGAAAATGCCCCATGCAGCCTGTTGCAGGCGCAGCATGTAACACAAGTGAACCGTAATCTATGGTGGTCCAGGGGCTGTCATGGCCGGCAACATGTGGTGGTCCATGGTGGTGGAAGCTGTGGTGGTCTGGGGCTCGTGGTCAGCTTTGGTGGCCCCTGACGTGTGGTGGTTCATGGGCTGTGGCGGCCTGTAAGGTGTTTTTGACGACTCTATTCGAAGCCGTTGTCGATATGGGGGACGCAGGTCAGTATGTCCTTTCTCCCCCTCCCCCATCTCTCTCTCTCTCTCTCTCTCTCTCTCTCTCTCTCTCTCTCTCTCTCTCTCTCTCTCTCTCTCTCTCTCTGTATCTCCCCCCTCCACCCGTGTGCTCCCCTCCACCCTTCTCCCCCTCCCCACCTTCTCTCTACTCCACCTGCAGTCCCCGCTGCCGCTCCTCCCCTCTCACCCGCCACTCGTTCGCTCCACCCCGTTTCTCCCCCTCTCCGCCGGCCCTTTTTTTTAACAAAGAAAAGGAAAAACTGCCTGCGTGTGCCCGTCGCTCTTCCGCACCACCCTACTTCTCCCCCTTTCCTCCGCCGGTCTCCCTTTGCCGCTGCTTCTACCCCCATCCTCCCTCCTCTCCTTTCTGCGTCCTCCTCTGCCCTTCTCCGCCCTCCGCCTCCTCTCCCCTCATTCTGCGTCGCGCTCCCGTCCGCCCTTCTCCCCCCTCCGCCTCCGCTCCGACTTCGCTCCCGTCCGCCACTCTCTTCACTCTGCCTTCTCTCCCCTCGTTCTGCGCACGCTCCCCTCCGCCCTTCTCCCCCCTCCGCCTGTGTTTCCCTCCCCCTTGCTCTTCCCTCCTCTGCTCCTTTCCACATCCTCCTGCACCCATCTCCCCCCTCCGCCTTCTCTCTCCTCATTCTGCGCGGGCTCCCGCCTATGCTCCCCTCTGCCCGTCTCCCCCCCTCCGCGATCTCTCCCCTCATTCTTCTCCCTCCTCCGCCATTGCCCTTCCCCCAATATAATTGACTGTGACCCCACCCCTCCTCCCCCCTTATCAACTGTGCTATCCGTTCCGTTTGGTTTCATATGTGATCAGTGGTCCATGGGGACCCTCCTTTTCTTCTTAAAAAAGGAATAAAAAACTGCACGCGCGCGTGAGAGAGAGAGACAGAGAGAGACTATAGCGGGCTTGAGAGAGGAAAGTTGATGGAATGCGCCAAGCAAAAGAAACACAAGTGCGGGCGAGTTTGCAAAACGAAAAAAGCCAGGGCAGCGGCCGAGCACACCATGGAGTGGCAAGAGAGAGAGAGAGAGAGAGAGAGAGAGAGAGAGAGAGAGAGAGAGAGAGAGAGAGAGAGAGAGAGAGAGAGAGACCCTAACCTATCGAGTGTGACGGCCCCCCACAATAAAAAACACGATCAAGTGTCTCATCTGTTCTGATTAGGTTGATATCTGATCCGTTGTCCATCAGGATCCCCTTTTTCCCTCACGTGTGTGCGTGCTAGAGAGAGAGAGAGAGAGAGAGAGAGAGAGAGAGAATCTGTTCGGAACAGTTTCATATCCCACGTGTGGTCCATGAGGAACCTTTTTTTTTTTTTTTTTTTTT